TATATATATATATATATATAGTGTGTGTGTGTATATATATATATGGAAGAGTATTTGAGGATAATATAGGTGCAACATAACACAAATGCATGGTGAATAGAGTCCATTGAAAAAACAAGATTAGTGGAAAAGCATAATTTAATAACCTAGAGCTAGTAATTTTTTAACATTTGATGGAAAAGTATGTTATTTGATTCAAGAACACTCACTCCACAAGTTTTTGGCTAAAACAAGAATTAATTACTTATACAAAGTGTTTATTTCTGCTGTCCTTTCAGATATGTCTTGCTCTGGCAATATGGTATCTATGTTATTAAAAATAGCAAAAGTAGCAATCAGTATTTCAGTCTCTTAAAGTCCAACATGATTCCCTGCATTTCAAGCTAGAAAGACTGTTGGCTCATCTTTTGGTAATTTGTGTGAAAATTACAGAGGAAATGCTAAAATATACATTTTGTTTTGGTCGATGAGTTATTCACTAAACATCTCACCTATTATAAATAACTTAAATGATTTCTGAGGGACATTTAGAAATGCCCACAGAAGTGTTCATTTCCTTTTCAGGAAGTCAGTGCCCTCTAGTGGCACAAAGTTGGATAAACATAGAAAGTCTAAATTCCCTTATTTCTTCCTGTGACTCTGCTTACGGTACCCTGTGTAACACAAGCATCTAAATGTTCTACAGGCTACACACTTATCTTTGTTGAAGCTTTGGAAATGTTTGCAGAGTCTTTAAATATTTCCATGTTGATATTTATGAAATGCAACATTATTGAATTTTGATCTGCCAAAACATCATTAAAACACCTTAATCTCACCCTTCTCTATACCCCTCCCTACTCAGTATCGCTGCTAAAGATGCTCTGGAGAGACACTTTGGAGAACAGAATAAACCTTCCTCTCAAGAGATCATGCGAATGGCTGAAGAACTGAATCTTGAGAAAGAAGTAGTAAGAGTTTGGTTTTGCAATAGAAGGCAGAGAGAAAAACGGGTGAAAACAAGTCTGAATCAGAGTTTATTTACTATTTCTAAGGAGCACCTTGAATGCAGATAAAATTTACTATTGTGTAACATCCAATTTTTCTGTTTTTCTTTCCTTTCTCTTCCCCAACAAAAATAGAAATTAGTTATTTGGTTGGCTTCAAAAATTTTATATCAACAACTTTTGCAGACACTTTTCTACTTTAAAAAATTAATACAATTTAAATATTGGTGACTTATTTTCTTTAAAATATTCTCAGAAGCCAAACTGTATATCTTTAAGCCAAAGATACCAATAGGAATAAAACAATAATTCTTTCAAAGTCTTTCTCACTCCCTCTTTATCTACACACGCACACAAGGAGTGTGCACATGGGTCTTTCAAGATTCCTTTTCCCAAGGCTGTTTATTAGCTTTTTATATTTCAGTCATATTGCTAAATAAAGAATATCACCATAGAAAATACAATTAGAAAATTGTGACCAATGTCCTGTTTACCATCAGCACTAATAGTTGGTTTGAACTAAATTGTTTGCACTTAAGAGCTGGAGGTGCGTTAGAATTTTATTAGTGCATTTAGGAATAAATCTTAATTAGAAGCGACACTTTTGATCTTTTTATTCTTCCCAAAGATTTAGCTTTTTTGATGTTTATTTATAGAAAATAGGCTTTATGGATTCTGAACCCAAACTATTTTGTAAGCTGCAACAGTGCAGGAATGATGTCTGGCTTGTTTACTGTTGTTTGTCCAGTGCCTAGGAAAGTGCTTGTAGTGGGCACGCGAGCTTCGTTAAATGAAGAAATGTGCTGTTGTGATATTACCAATGAAGGAGTGTGCTGTTAACAATTGCTACAAACTTGAAGGGTGCGTAATTTAATAACACTATTTAAGTCTCACAACCCAGAAAATCATCAGGATCCTATCAAAAAGACTATCACTTTGTTTTAATTGGCTAGAATATGATTTGTTATTGATGAAAAAGTTTGACAATCGAGTATTTTAATTTAGCGATTTATATCTAAGGAACATATTTAATTTATAAGAATGCACTTCTTTGAAACTTGCAAATAGAAGCAAATGGTAATATAATAGCAATCTAAGTGATTTTTTTTTGCATTGAAAATATAAATCTGCTGGCAATGTTTATTTTATATAACAAAAATGGAAACAATTAGACCAAATTTTATTAATGATTTAGAATGCTTAATAAATTACACTGTCCAGTCTGCTTTTAGTGATACTAATAAAGATCAAACACTATTTCATAATCTCTATAGATCATATATGTTTATGCACACATAATCACCATTAATTGGGTTGCTAGAAACTTTGATATATTAACAAAAAGAGATTGTTTTCAGTGGCTTAATCATCTATGCTTAAGTACACATCTAGCACCCAGGAGGTGTTGAACAAAATATACATACAAGGACTTTTATTTTTCAAGAGTAAATTCCATATTATTGAGCCATGGAGATATTTAAGTTCTTCTCTGTATAATTCACCTGCTTACCACATACGTTAATTGGGAAGGGATTCTTGAGTTTGTAAAAGGCAGGAATAGGATGTATATACATACATATATACTAGATACATACACAAAAATGCATATATGCATGTCTGAAAGTTGCAAATAGAAAAAGAAAATGCAATATAAATCTAGAATAGTGACTTTTTTGCACTTTAAATATAAATCTGAAAATGTTTCATCTGACTTTATACAACAAAAATAAGCATGTATAAATGCTTATATCATCCTCACATATATATGATAATATCAGACATTCATCCATAAAGTCATTCAGGTTTAGATACAGCTAGCATTGGGAAATAATTTTTCTCCCTAAAAGGAGTTATTTTGAATCAATACTTAATATCAAAATAACAAATCTATAGTTATTCACATTAGTTATAAATGCATTAGTAGTTAGAATTAATTTATTTGTATTAAAAAGTTTTTGAGACTATTCTAACTACATTGAGATATTTTAGGGGCACCTGGGTGGCTCAGTCGGTTAAGCATCTGACTTTGGCTCAGGTCATGATCTCGCACTCCGTGAGTTCGAGCCCCGTGTTGGGCTCTGTGCTGACAGCTCAGAGCCTGGAGCCTGTTTCGGATTCTGTGTCTCCCACTCTCTCTCTGACCCTCCCCTGGTTCATGCTCTGTCTCTCCCTGTCTCAAAAATAAACGTTAAAAAATATATATATATAAAGAGATATTTTAATATAGATTGATCTTTTTATAAAAATAGAAAATGGTTAATGCTGTTTAGAATCCTAAACTGCAATTAAATAAATGACAAATGTAATTTGCTATGCAGTTATCTATGTGTTCATACTTTCAGGAATAAATGGCAAAACCTGACTTTAGCAATAGTCTTTCCATCTAAAGTTCTTGTGAACTCTTCAGTGGTAAATCTTTAGGAATTCAGAATAGTCCATTAAAATGGAAAGATCTGTCACTTATACCAATTGGTACATTCAATTTTATCTTGCACAGAAGGTTGACATTCATCCATTGACCCTTCCATCTCTAATGGTGGAAAAACTGATCTAGTAAAAAATATTGTCAGTGTTTTGGGGATGGGAGCAATGTGTCTTTGTGCACCCGCTCTCAACTTCTGGGGGAGATGGGGGTGGGGGAAGGGGAGTGTGTGTTGTGTGTTGTCCCAACAATTAGAGTCCCTTGTATCAGCCGCCACATTCATCAGGCTTCCTCTAAGGTAAATTCAATCCAGTTGACTCAAAGGAACTAAGTTTAGAAGAATGGTGTCAAGTCCCTTTATGGGAGACTCAATTTCTACAGAGAGGAAATTGGAAAGTTGATCTGTTTTTCTACAGTTGCAAAAAACCTATTCCTGCAGAATAGTAATCAAAGGAGAAAGTTATTATCAGTCTCTCTTCAGATCTGGACACACACCTAGCTTTAACGTAAGAGTATCTAAAATAGGAGTGCACAAAAAAAATAAAATAGGAGTGCACATATTTAAATTAGGTCCACAGGGATCAGGCTAGAAGTGTGGCCACTGGGTAGTAAGGAATGTACTTGTGGCTGAGGGGAAAATGCACTTTTCTCCTAAAGGCAATCAGATGCAAGTAATAGAATATACATCACTGTGCAGGTTGAATAAAGCCCAAGGCTGCCAGATTCCCTGTGTCTACAGAGACACAATCTTGAACCCCTTTCCACTGGCCCCTGCCTTAGCCAGGTACTCCTCTCCAAGCATGGAATATAATCTATGCAACACAGTCAACTGACAAATGATTTTATTTTCTAACCACATTCTACTTCTCTGGTATTCTGAGATCTCTTCCACCCGTGACTTTTACATCCCAACAGAATGTGACATTGGACTGCATCCTTCTTGGTAAAACAGGTATTGCTATACTTTTCCATTCTCTATTGGCAACCTCTTGTCTGAATACAGTTGTTAAAGTAATCCTTTCACCGAAAAAAGAGAAATTAGGGAAACAAACAAAAAATACAGTTGACCATTGAACAACATGGGTTTACCCTGTGCAGGGTCCACATATTTATATGTGGATTTTTTTCAATAAATACAGTACAGTACCATAAATGTATTTTCTCTTATGATTTTCTTAACATTTTATTGTCCCTAAATTTACTCTATAGGATACAATATATAATACAGTTAATATACAAAATGTGTGTTGATATGTTATTGGTAAGGCTACTGGCTATTAGTAAAGTTTTGGGGGGGTCAAAAGTTATATGCAGACTTGTGACTGCATGAGGTCACTGCCCCAATACCCACATTGTTGAAAGATCAACTCTATTTTCATTAAACTCAATGTATAAGAATCCTTGTTTCCGAATCTTAAGTGTGGAGAGTAAGTTTCATTTTTAGTCAAGGATAGTGTAACATAATTTTACAACGATTGTGAAAATTGCTACAAGAGCATTTTATAAATATAACCAAATCAGAATGGCTCTTCTCTCTACTTTGAGTCCCAAAGCCTTCCGTAGTATCCAGGTTTGCCTGAAAATAAAGGAAATCACGAAGACTTATCTGCTTAAAAATAGTATTTAAAAATGTTTATCCCCTACAAGTTCTAGAAAAGGAATCATCAGATGAATTACACGTGAAACCAATTCTTAGACTTATTCCATTCACAAACATCAATCCTGTACCAACTGCTAATTCTTAGGAAAGACATTTGTTAAAATTTAAGAAGCAGAGTTACCTATTTTCCTTCCAGAAAAATAATAAAAATCATTCTTTTGAAAAATTACCAGATATGCATAAAAATGTTAACTTTAGCGGAAGCCAAAAACAGAGTAAAAGGGGAAAAAAGCATAATAGCAATAAATCTTTATTGGAATCTTTTTAACAAAATAATTTTTAAAAACAAAAGCCCCCCGCATGTAAACAAGAAAGTAAATAAAGTTAGTTGGCATTATTATGTACATCCAAGAATCAAAACAAATTCTGGGTTAACATTCCATAATCCAGTAAAATGTTTTGACCCATCAATGTTCAGGGAAACTAATACTGTAAACAATGCAACCTTATCTACGAACATCATACAATGCTTCATGAATTATAAATTAAATAGTTTAACTTTTCATTCGTCCCACCAATCCATATGCCATATGGATACTAGCCCTAAAATGGATTTACCTTGTCAACATTAGACCAAAATGTCCATCATCAGATGTTGATCTGGTCACACCTAACTGATCTCTCCTCCAATGTTTATGGTGGGATGTGCTAGAACCCATATATTACAACAGAACTTTTTCAAACTAACCTAATCCTAAATTCTCTAATCTGCCACTTTACTTTTTCCTCACTTTCTATACATACATTAAATACCATAGCAACTTCACCTTAAAAAATACTGCTAATACATTAATACACATTTAGGAAATAATTTCTGACAAAGTTGTAGTTTATTTACCAAGGAAAAAATGCTAATTTTTATTTTAAAATTTAGGTTAAGTATTGTCATAGTAGTCTTAAACTAAAGATGGCTTCCATTTAGAGTGTTCAATATACACAATAAAGATCAAAATTAAACATATTAAATAGTATCTCACATGGGGAAAATTTTCTCAGTTCTTGGAAGAAAGACCAAAATGTAGTTTTATTACTATAAAATGTTATTAATTCAGTGTCTGTTTTTGCTAATTATTTTCATTTTTATAAGCCTTTACAAAAGAGAACCAGGATAATTTTTCTAAGAGGCCTCAATATTAATTTAAAATGTAATTTTTTCTGTCAGTTAAAATAATTTAAAGATGTGCACAATATATTTGTTCTATTTAAGGCAGGTGCCAAGCACATTTTGAAAGGTAATAAACTTACCAACTAGAATGTTCTCCCAAAGGAAAAAAAAAGGAAAAAGGAAAAACCCATGACAGTTTTTAAGACAAATGTTTATATAGCACTCTTCTTTTGGCTCATTTAAAAATAATTTGGCAGCTGAACCGCCTATGGTCATAACACATATCACTCACAAAGGACAAGCAACAGATACAGAATTAATGATATATTTTTAATATTTTTTACAAGTCTCTTTAGTTGGTGCCTAGTGGCATTTAACAAGATTTTTGTATTCCGTGTAAAAACACATAGAACGTAAACACTACGTAATGAATATAATTTCTCTATGCCATGCAAAAAAGAAGTCAAGTTTTTACACATCCTCGCTCCTAAATAGTTCTCATTAAAATCCAACTGTTCCCATTTTTGCATCCTTGTCATTCTTTGGTAAAAGATTCAAAATAGCCATAGGTTAGGAAACAACTGTTTGCTCGTGGTCTTCATTTTTGCAAATAAATGTGTTTTGTAAAAGGAAATCTGCACTGTGCCTGATTTATACTAAATAATTGTAAGTAAGCAAAATATCATAGTTTTTCTGACTAATCTACTCCTAAAGCTTTGAGTTGCCGTTCAATCTCTTCATCGGAGATCGTAGCCTTTGAAGTAGAGGCAGATGGTAAGCTTCGAGCAGCTGATGGAGCTTTGGCCATCTATATTAAAGGTAAAGGGGAAAAAATGTGCATTACCAAATGTGGGGCAAGGACACAAAGGATGTGCTTCAAAGATGTTTACTTTACATTCAAACAAATACAAAATCACACATCTGACAGGAAAGGGTAGCTTACAGTGACAAAAGTGGTAGAAACGATTTCTAACTGAGAGAAGAAGACATTCATACCTTTCCAGAGATTTCAATTCCGATTTCATCAAGAACTTGATTCACAATATCTTGGCTTTCTTCTTCATCATCAGAGCCATCAAAGATGTCATCAAGTGTGTCATTGACTTGGGGGGAAGGGGAGAAATAAAGCAATTACTTTCAAACCGATTTCAAGTTAGATTTACAGTTTTAGAAGGTGGTCCAGGTGTAATATTTGTATATTACACAAGGGCAAACTTAACCAACAAACTACAGAAGTCCTTTTTAAATGTTCGTGAAGTTCACTTATACATTTTTGAGTTACTAAATCTGGAGTAATTTTCGTTGCAACACAAATTTTCCTATAATAAAACAAGTCTACCCTGATTTTTTTAAATGTGTATTTAATAAACAACTATATGAAATTCACAGCTAAAGGCTTAAAGTGTTGTTTTTGTTTTTTTTTTTTTTTTTTTTGAGTGAGAGAAAGTTATGGAGGGGCAGAAAGAGAGGGGGAGAGAGAATTCCAAGCAGGCTCCATGCTGTCAGCAAAGAGCCCGAAATGGGGCTTGATGTCACAAACCATGAAATCATGACCTGAGCCGAAACCAAGAGTCAGATGATCAACCGAATTAGCCACCCAGGCACCCCTAAAGTTTTAAAATATGATTCCACAAATTGTATTCATTGAGCTAGCAGCTGTTAAATCTGACCATGGAAGAATATTTAGGAATCAAGTATCTTATAAATATTTGGGAGACAATTTGCTCTGTATATACCTATAATTATTTTTCAACTTAAATTTATATTCAACATGTAGGTAGAATATTCTAACAAAATCTAAGGTTCAATATTTTATTAAACTTGTGTAAAGAATGATGTCCAATTTAACCGTGCAAAGATTATTACTGCTATATCCCTCTCTTCCTCCCTTCTCTTCCCAAACTATTTATGGAAAGCCTTCTGTACAGAAGGTATCATGTTAGGATTATGCCTTATTATCCCTGAATCAAAGGGCCTAGCATGTAGTACAAATACAATTAATGGATAAAGGGAGGAAAATGAAGACCTTAAGTAGTTTACACTTAGAAAAAATCAGATTGTGGTAACTAAGATAAAATGATTATAAAAAGGGAAGAGATTACATCCAACTGGGAGGAAGTAACATGTGAGGTGGTCCTTGAAGGCTGCAAAGCATTTGATCAAACAGGTGGAATAGGATGAGCAAAGACTTGGTGGGAGACAATAGGGATATATTCAAGGAAGATTAAGTCCTTCTGTTGTGTGCATGAGTGGAAAATGCTTAGGAGGGAAAGAATTAAAGCAGATGGACCATAATCATTCTCCTGATCACTGGGGGATGCCCCCAAAGGAAAAAAAGACAGGTAATAAAGTCTATCTCCTTGTAAGTACGCTGCTAATTGTACTCCTGGTAAACAGACTAATATTTGCCAGTAAGAGTGTCCTTGTCTATGGAATGTTGTTAGCAGAATGTCCTTGGTTTAGGACTGCTATAGTAAACAAACCTACAATGTAGGAGTTTATGTGCGATGACTTCCTAGGAAATATCAGCTAAGACAGATAACCATCTGAGGGATAAATTTAAGATGTTTCATAACCTAAATGTTTCCTTCAACATGAGATGATATGCAAACCTCATTAGCCACATCATCTATTATTCTGGGTCAAAGAGCTTATGTCTGATATGGGAAAAAAAAGATCTGGGGAATAATTTGAGATGTCCCAGCCCTCTCCCTGTTTCACATGTGCATCTTAATTGCTTGTATCCTTGACAATATTAATAAAGCTCTCTGGTTGGTATGAGCATGATTTGACAATTTGATTTTTTGTGTTAGCTCAAAAAGTAAATTTGGAAAAGGTTATATTAAATTTAAGGACAAAAAATGAAATATCATCTCTGAAGAAATAAAGCAAATGTCAAGACTTCAATTAGAGTCTCAATTCTTCCATTTAGTACCTATTCAACTTGTGGAGACCGTCCTTTTACCTCTGCTCACTGGCAAGATAAAGGGGCATGACTTGAAAATTGTTTTTGATTTACATCTGAGAATTTTATTTTGAAGTCAGCAAGAAGCAACTAAAGGAATCTCACTGGCATGCTCAGAGACAAGTTTCTGGAAAAATAATTTAGCGGCTGTAATAATCCAATGCTAGTGAAGTAATGATGGAGGTGGGAAATCCAGGTCAAAGTCTGTAAGTGCCTCAAGAAGTAGTGCAGAAAAAAAATGAAAGAAGGGAATAGATGAGAAAGAACAGAAAGGTATAATCCGGGATTAAAAAGAATGCTTTCAGAAAAACTGTAATTAACCATTTATAAATATATGTATACATACATATATATATAAAATATGGTTATGTAATATATACATATGTGTGTGTGTGTATGTGTGTGTGTGTATATATATATATACACATAAAATATATATATATATATATATATATATATATATATATATATATATATAATACAAATTTCTCAAAGAACCTGTTTCCAAAACTTGAATGTGAACAAGATCTGGAGCAGCAGTGCACAACATAAATATCAATTGGAAAAAGATCTATCAATTTAAACCTTGAATCCTTGACTTTACCTTTAAATGAAACACTGTTAATGTAATTTAGTAGGTTATAGAAGAAATGAGTAATCACCAACAATTACTATTCTTTCAGACTCATTTGCCAAGTACTAAAACATAAATGAAAACTATGATAGATAAGAGTTGTAAGTATGAGCTTATTGATTCTCTTCATTATAGCTTAATGGAAAAGTTAATTCCTCTAAGATCTCACACCTGTGCCATCACTGGAAGCCACATAAACATGATACTGCAATCATTATATAAATGACAATTCTCACAGTCATTAAAAATTCACTAATGATTCAAAAAAGTCATATTTTTAAAGATTCAAAGTGAAAGCTAAAAAAATTTTTGAACTATCAAAGATACACATACAATTTCATTATCTCCTAAAAGGAAAATAGATATTCTGAAATTGAATACCTGAACAGTTGTGAGTTTAGTAATTTAATCTGGTAATTTAATCTGACACTATTTTATACACTACATGCCATTAAATTAAAATGCTAGTAACTATGCAGAACTAATCTGGCATAGCTGTACATAATTGTAAAACAATTAGGAAATAACTTTGCAAAATAATGATATCAGTTTGACATATCATTTCAGGTAATTATTCAATGTTGACCAGATGCTGTAACTGGCAAAATAAAGATTGGTATTGTCTTTCTGGGAAGAATTTGGTAGTATAAACCAAAAGCCTTATAAACGTTAACACTCTGAGATTCAGAAAAGTAGACAAAAATAATATAGAAACATTTATCAAAGGATTATCAAATACAAATTTTAAAACAGTCTTATTGACCAATGTAAGAATGGTTCAATAAATTAAGATGGATATTATTTAATATCGATGTGATGCAGTATTTTTTTTTAGTGTTTATTTTTGAGAGATACAGAGACAGAATGTGAGTGGGTTAGGGGCAGAGAGAGAGGGAGACACAGAATCTGAAGCAGGCTCCAGGCTCTGAGCTGTCAGCACAGAGCCTGACGTGGGGCTCGAACTCACAAGCTGTGAGATCATGACCTGGGCCGAAGTTGGACACTCAACCCATTGAGGCACCCAGGAGCTCCAATGTTATGCAGTATTAACGCCATTTAAAAAAAAGACTTCAGAGAAGACTTAAGGTCATAAGTACATGCGTATGTCATACTAGTATGTTTTTTAAAAGCAGAATAAGGTTCAAAATTACACATATAATAGGATTAACTACTACAAGATATGGAAAAATATAGGAAAGAAACATACCATATTAACAGTAACTATATCTGTGAGATGTGATAATATTTTTCATAAATTTCATTCCTTTGTATTCCCTATATTTCTACTACAATATGCAATTAGCTTATAGTCAAAAAGAAGAAAACTAAGTATTAAGTAACTCTGGGAAGGAAAAGAAAAAAATAACAGAAGAGCTCCATTATCTCTACCTCCAATAAAACCACACATCTTCTACAGTATGAAAGAATCAACACAACTCTGAACCTATCAAATTCATATCAGGAAGAGTTATTTTATTCACAAGTTGGTTTTGCTGCACTAATCAATAAAGTAAAACTGCTGTGGCCAATATGGCATAGAAATATGGCATATCATATTTTATATTTTTCCTTCCACTAAAGTTGGATAGAATTTTGAGCCTTATACATTGCCAATTTAAAAATGCATTAGGAGTGCCTGGGTGGCTTAGTCGGTTAAGCGTCCAACTTCAGCTCAGGTCATGATCTCACGGTTTGTGAGTTTGAGCTGAGTTTGAGCGCCCCAGACCCCCATCAAGCTTTGTGCTGACAGCTCAGAGCCTGGAGCCTGCTTCAGATTCTGTGTTTTACTCTTTTGCTCCTCCCCTGCTCTCTCTCTCTTAAAAACAAACATTTAAAAATTTTTTTAATTAAATAAAAATTATTAGAGTTACAATACAGACATCTATTCAGAAGGGTGCTATATCATTTTTTTCAACATTTGTCCTTTTATGGATTAGAATATAAGGTTGCTAGTAAATAAACTTGGCTAACTCAAAGATGAAAAAACTGCAAATTTCATTATAAGTTATTAAACTTACTCATTTCTTCAGTCATTTCCATTTTCATGTTTTCCTTCTGGAAGTTCTGCATTGTTTGTAACGTCTTTTGTGGATCCATCTTCTTGTTAACTGCTTGCATTGTCTTTAAATATATGAAAAGATTCGTGTTGGCTACATAATTGGAAAAATTTTACTATGAAATAAGTTCAAAGGAAACACATCAAATTAGATACAGGGTTTCTAAAAATATACATTCTGTCATCATCAAATATAAGAGTACAAAGTATTCTAGAAAAAAATGAAATATTTGGATACCATCTGCTTAACAGTTGTATAATAAAGACCAGGTGAAAAACTCATATGAACAGTAGGCAAAATAAACAAATAAATAAGTAAATAAATAAAGTAATTAAAAAACATTGTCAGCAACAACAAAAAATCCAATGCTATTCAAATGGGAAAACTACATTTGCCTATTATGTGCCAAGCAGTTAATGTCTAAATTGAAAATAATTGTAATTTAAATTTTACAAAATTTGTCACTTAGCTTTTGATGTCTAAATGAAAAAGGATACACAGCATGAATACTTAAACCGTTAACATATTTTAAATCATGGTTTGGAGAAATGAACAGAACGAGTTTTGCAAAAAAATGTGAAAAGAATTCTTACATTTTATATTCACAAGTTATTTCATTAAAAGAGATTAATGCTATCTAGTATGGGCAAATATTTTATACATATTATATAGAAAATTTACATATGTATTACACAGTTCAGTATTGAAAGATACTATACAATATAAAACACATCAGTTTCAAAGATACCAAGCAGTCTTTTCTCAATCTGTATGTAATGCTGCAGCCAAAGTAACTAGTAACACTGGATTTCCCCCATCCCCCTCCAGCGCATACCTCTCAAGTGGCTTTCCATTGCTCTCAGTAGTAAAAGCCAAATTCCAGAATTCTCTGAGACCAAACACCACCAAACTCTGCTGAACAAGCTAGTCTTATTTTGTACCGCTGCCCTCTAGCCACACTGATCTCACTTGTTATAAATGAAATTCTCTATTTATTGATGTAAATTATATTACTTGCAACTTAATACTAACAACAATGATGAGAATGATGATAAAGCAGTAAATGCCTATATAGCCTTAACTATGTGCCAGGCCCTGTACCTAAAGCATAATTATTTATATATAACATTTAAAGTTAAAAGACATTTAGACCTAACAAATGTTTATATACTAGGCACCACCATTTTCCCTACACTATAAATGGAGAATGAAGGCACAGAAAGGCAAATTCACTTGCCACAAGTCCTAAAGCTACTGAATAGAAGTGAGATTTGAACTCAAGTAATCTGGTTCAAAATGTATGCTCCTAATCACTACACTGAACCACCTCTTCGAGTGAGCTGTTTTTGGAACAGACTGTCCATTTTAAGCCCCTGCCTGGTTTTGCTGTCTACTTCATCCCCATCATTTGTTATAGTACCTACTCTAGGGTCTAAACAAGTATTTGCGGAATTAAGACATTTCTAAGATAATTAAGTGAAAATTCCAGTTCAGCCATCTCTGCATGGCAGGACCATATTCAGTACCTTCTCCTAACCTACTACCTGTAAAAGAAAAAACTACAAAGTAGATGGTTTTCCCCTTATTACTGAAAGGTGACCCAGCTCAACTGTGTGATCATCACATATGATCTTTTCCCAAATTAGATGTTTAGTCCTGTCCACTTGTGAAAACAAAAAAGGAAAACGAAAGTTTTTGCTCTTAACTGTGTATTTTTTACTGTAAAATGACAAAGATCCATCAAGAGTAAATTAACAGAACAAACTTACATTGAAATTTCCTCCATTTTTTTTAAGAACATAATGTGTCACTATACTTACTGCACCTGAGAAAGGCAAATTCTATTTTCGTGTGCTCTGTAATCTAAAAAACAATTATAGTTGCTCCTCATTATTTCTGGATTCCATATGTGTGGGTATGCCTACTCACTAAATTTATTTGTAACTGCAGACCAATACTCACAGTGCTTTTCTGTTCTCTGTGGACACACAGGGAACGGCAAAAAAATTGAGTTATCCAACATGGTTGTTTCCAGCTGAGGTCAAACAAGGTGACCTCTGCTTTCTTGTCTCAACTCTCATACTGTACACAAGTGTCCTTATTGTGGTCTATTTAGTGCCACATTTTTGTAACTTTTGTTGATGACTTTGCCATTTAAAATGGCCCCAACCATAGTACTAAAGTGTTGTGTAGTGCTCCTAAGTGCAGGAAGCTATAATGTGTTTGTGGAAAAATACATATTAGCTCTGATTAGGCATGAATTCAATGTTAATGAATCAATAATACTTATTAAATATGGAGTCCTTCAACAGAAACACACATTAAACAATGTTAGTGTATAAGCTGGTTGACAAAAATGTTGTCACCAAAGGCTCACAGGAACCTAACCTTGTATTTCCCCTAGGAGCAATTATTCGATATTCACTAACTCAGTGTTCCCAACTACAGAACATTAACTACTTCAAGTAACAAGAATCCACTGTACATACCATTTTTCTAATATGAACCTCATACTTGCTCTTCCTCTGTGGCTTTCTTTTCTTTTGGTCTCCATATTCAAATACTCCTCCTTCCTTATATTTAACAACTAGTGATATTTTTCACACCTAGGTCTTCTAAAAGTCTTTCAGATCACTCAATTCAAAGATCTGAACAGTTCACTGAAATTTAGCACACACTGATGTATAGTGGATAGTTTCCCCATTAGAAATAGTTTAACCTCCCTGCTTACTCCCACCCCATCCTCAACTGAACAATAAAATCTGTGAGAGCAGCGCCTTTGTCTTAAAAGTCTTCTTATTCTTCACAGTACTTCATACACATCAAGGGGCTCATTATTTATTAAAAAATCAAAAAGCTCAAAGTCCTTTAAACTCCAGAGTGAAAACATTTATTTTTTTATACAAAGGGTGTAAGTTAAACATAATTTCCTGACAAAATTAACTGGTAAATCCTTCTGACAGAAATCACATGTCCTTCTGACATATACATGAAAATGGATCAAGAGGAAATTACTACTCAGAAGTAATCAAAACTTACAGCTTAATGAAATAACAAGACCAAAAATCTTCTGACAATTTAAGGGAAAAAGCAAATAATACTTTAAGTCAATTTAAAAAATTTAGAAGCTAAATGTGACCCTGGGACAATCAACATGTCCTAACAAATTTTATAGTAAAACAAATCAGTAAAGAATCTATGTACACCTGAATCTAATATAATATTGTAAGTTAACTATATTTCAATGAAAAAAATCTAGAAGTATTTATTTGGATTATCTAGTCTTATAACTTCTTTTACTAAATATTACACAGATTCTGTACCCCATATACATCAGGAGGTACTTTTAAATCTGATTTGAATACTGACATTTAAATATCTTAGATAAAATTATAAATGTATGGATATAAAGGTCCCCACTTACTTTTGCTGTAGTAGACATTGCTCCTGCCATCTTCATCTGGGAATTCATCACTTTTGTTTGTGTGGACATAGAAGTGACTTTAGAACTTACAGCAAAAGTTCTTGTTTTCTGTTTCCGTAGATGAACAAGCTGTTTCGCTAAAACTCTGCAAGCTTCTTTATTACCAATCTTAGCCATTTTCTTAATTTCTAATTCCTAAGAAAGGAAATAAAAACAGGGGGAAAAATCATTGATAGGTCGTTCCCAATGATTTATTTCAGAAGAAAAATCAAACACACATCATATACCCTTTTCTCCCTGATCACGAAGACAGGAAGAGGCAGTCATAAGGTCAGAGAAAAAGAGTAATTGGAGAGGGCAATTTATTCCATATGTTTACATGGGAAAGACAGAACTAGTACCTTCATCCACAAATACAAAGCAAGTCTACAAAATAGTATTCACAAAAAGCCCCAGAAGAAAAGGAAAAAGCTCAACCCAAAAGTCAGTAGGATAAAGAAAAAACAAAAAACAAAAAACAGCGAGTTGGTGGGACAGAGAAAAAAGCACAAGGGTAGATTTAAGGCTAATTATATAGACAATTACATTAAGTAAGAAGGTTCATCCAACACCTTAATAAAAGGCAAGTTGTCATTTTAGATAAGAATATAAACCCAAATATATGCTATATCAAGAAACCAAATTTAATTACAAAAAACAAAACTAAGTAAAAGGATAGGAAATATACTCTATAATTATTTATTAAATTCTGAAAATCTGGAATGGCTACATTAATATCAGATTTAAAAAAACTTGAGAAAGGAATATCATAGGAAATAAAAAGGGGCATTTCATAATGATAAAGATATATTTCATAATATAAAGATACTAAAACAATCCTATATGTGCATGCATCTAAGAACAGTGCTTCAACCTTGAAGCACAGGGGCGCCTGCGTGGCTTAGTCAGTTAAGTGTCCAACTTCAGCTCAGGTCATGATCTCACAGTTCAAGAGTGAGTTCAAGCCCCGCATCGGGCCCTGTGCTGACAGCTCAGAGCCTGGAGCTTGCTTCGGATTCTGTGTCTCCGTCTCTTTCTGCCTCCCCCCTGCTCATGCTCTGTCTCTCTCTCTCTCAAAAATAAATAGACATTAAAAAAAAATATGTGAAGCACAACCGAAAGAACTGAAAAGAGAAACAAATACACAATTAGTATGAGGAATATCAACAACTTCTCTCTTAAGTGCACTGCTATAATTGTTAGAACATGTGAACAGAGACTATGTAATGCTATAGACTTACAAAAACACTATCACCAACTTGACCTAAACAACATTTTTATTTTTAAAATAACAACAGCAGAACATTCTTTTTACAAGTGTACACTAAAAAAGAAGAAAAATCACCAAAATATACCACATTTTGTATCAGAAAACAAGGCTCAATAAATTTACAAGGACTGAAATCATACAAAGTGTGTTCTCTAACCACATGAAATAAAACTGGAAATCTGGAAAACTGGAAGGAATATCATAAATAAGCAGAAATTAAACAACATGGTTCTAAATAAGTCATGGGTTGGAAAGATCTCAGGAGAAATAAGATAATATTTTGAACTTGGAACAAAAAGGAAAATGCAACATATCAAAATGTGTGGGCTATAGTTAAAACAGTTCTTAGAGGGAACTTTATAGCATTAAAGCTTATATTAGAAAAAAATGAATATCTCATAAGCTTCAAAACAGAGAAAGTAAAAAAAAAGTAAAACACTAAGTAAACAAGTAAAAATATAAACAATAAATCTAGATAATAGGAAAGAAAAAACAATATAGAAAATTAATGAAATCAAAAGCCATTTTTTATAAGAGATTGACCTTTGGCATTGATAGACCATTAGCCAGATAGATGAGGGGAAAAAGTGATACAAAGAGAGCATAAAAATTACAAAGATGAGGAATGCAAAGGGGGGCATCACTTCATATCCTAAAGATGTTAAAGGATAATATGGGAACATTATGAATAACAGGTCATTACATTTTAACATTTAGTAAACATGGATCTTGACAGATGCTAACTACCAAAGCTCATTTAAAAAGACAGATTATTGGGGCACCTGGGTGGCTCAGTCGGTTGAGCGTCCGACTTCGGCTCAGGTCATGATCTCACAGTTTGTGAGTTTGAGCCCCACGTCGGCCTCTGTGCTGACAGCTAGGAGCCTGGAGCCTGCTTCAGATTCTGTGTCTCCTCTCTCTGCCCCTCTCCCACTTGTGCTCTGTCTCTATCTCTCAAAAATAAATAAATGTAAAAAAAAAATTAAAATAAAATAAAATAAAAAGATTATCTGATGATCCATTCTGTAGCTGTTTTTTCTAAAAACTGAACTGGTAGTTTAAGAACCTATCCACAAAGACAGCTTTACTGATGAATCTTCTCAAATATTTAACGAAGAAATACACATTCTTCCAGTAAAGAAATAAGAGAAACCAACTCATGCTTTAAAGTCAGCATCACTCAGATGTCAAAACCAAATAAAGACACTGCATGAAAAGATAACTACAAATCAGTATCTTTCACAAACACAGATACAAATATTCTTTACTTTTTCTTTGTGAGAGACAGAGGGATAACACATACAGGAGGGGCAGAAGAGGCTAGTAGGAGAGAGAGAATCTGAAGCAGTTCCATATGCAACACACGTTTGATCCAACAACCATGATATCACGACCTGAGTCAAAATGAAGAGTTGGACACTTAACTGACTGAGTCACCCAGCACCCCTAGATGCAAATACAGTAAAACCTTGGACTGCGAGTGTTCTGCAAGACAAGCAAACATTTCTAATAATTTTTAACTTGATAAACAAGCGATGTCTTGCAATATGAGTAGTGTGTGATGCTGAACGTCACATGATCACAACTGAGCCAATGGTTCTTCTCTCTCTCTCTCTCCATATCACTGTGGAATTGTGAGTGATCGTCTCCCATGCTCAGATGCTCGATCTTAGACTGAGATGTTTGGCAGAAATTGGTGATTTTTCAGAATGTTGGAAGGTGCCCACAACTGGCACTAGTGTATTTTTTGTCACTTCAAAGCATCAATGGATGGTTTTTTGCTTTTCCAAACAAGAGTAAGCTTAGGAATGTTCTGCTTCATTCCAGGTCAGGCTGCCTTCATATAGAGACCCTTTCCCCTGCTGCCTTATTGTCAGTTACATTAAATACAGTATATGACAAAAGTTTATAAATACTGTACTGTAGTCAACATCTGTGTGAGTGTACCCCCACACAGGAAAAGGTTGAAAAAAAGGCGGTAAGATGAAGGAGATGATTATGGTGAAAGTTAAGGAAATTATCGAGAAATACAAACAAGGTATGCAAGTGGCTGAAACTGCAAGATTTTATAAGAAGTCTATGTCTGCATCTTGTCTGCAGTGAAGGAGGAGGAAAAGGCAGAGGAATCCCTCACTTCAAATGAGATTAGGGAGATGTGTAAAACGTGAGATATAGCGCAAAATTTTGTAGAAAAGCACCACCCAAATAAGGCTGTGGCAGTGCAAACAACAAATCTGTTTAACAACAGTGCAATGTCACACTTAACGTGAAATCCTCAAAAGGAAGCAAAAGCAAGTATCATTGGATAGGTTCTTTGTAAAGCTGCATGAAAAGAAAAAGATTCCATTGAGCCAATAGATAGTATTGATTGTTAGTGACAATGAAAGTTGTCCTACACAATAACCCTCCTCTCTCTGGTCTCTCACATACCAGCCACAAAGGTTTTCAAAGGTAAGTGCAGGCTAATTTGCTTATTTTCCTTTCTATTTTGTATTTTCCTTATTATTTTGTATTGTATTACAATATTGTAATCATTTTTATATTAATATTTTGGGGTTGTGGAACGAATCATGTGAGTTTCCATTATTTCTTATGGGGCAATTTGCTTTGATATACAAGTGCTTTGGATTACAAGCATTTGGATTACAAGCATTTCTGGAATGAACTGTGCTCGCAAACCAAGGTTTTACTGTATTCTTAACAAATTTCAGCTTACTGAAAATAGTATCTCAAAAAAACACGTCATTACCAATGTAACTTATCCCAGGAGCAAAAGCCTGATTTTAACTTTAATAAATCAATAAATGCAATTCACTAGGTTAACAGACTAAAGAAGAAAAACTGCATGACCATCATCTCAAAAGATGCAGAAGTGAACCTCCATGTTCACCTGATAACACAGTGAAACTTAATTCAATATGGTTTAGTGTCCTAAATGTAACAACTAAAACTATAATTCTTCTAGGAGAAAACAGAAGGGAAAATATTAGCGACTTTGGGTTAGAGAAAGATTTCTTAGGACACTAAAAGTACTAGTCATAGAAGAAGAAATTTCACTTGATTAAAATAAAAATCTCTGTTCCACAAAAGACACTATTCGGAAAATAAAAGAGGCAAGGCCAATAACTGGAGAAGATATTTACCAAATATATATTTAATAAAGTACTTATATTTGAAATATATAAAAAGCTCTTACAAATAAACAAAAGGAAACAACATGATGAAAAAAATGGGTAAAATATTTCAATAGACACTTTTGGCAAAAAGATATGTAAATGGCAAACAGGCACATGAAAAGATGCTGAACGTCATTAGCAATAAGTGAAATGCAATTTAAAATGACCATCTACTATACACCACTAGAATGACTAATATGTAAAGACTGTTGACTCCAACTATTAGCCAGGTTGTGGAACAACTTTACTTTCATATCTAGCTGGTGGGAACAGAAAACATTACAGCTGATTTGAAAAATTGTCTAGTAGTTTCTTACACAGTTAAACATACATTTACCCCATAATCTAGCAATCCCAATCCTAGAGATATATCCAAGAGAAACAAAAATATATGTTCACACAAAGACTCCAATTGTATCTTAATAGCAACTTCATTCAAAATAGCCCAAACCTGGAAATAACCCAAATATCCACTGGCTGCTGAACAGATAAATAAACTATGAAAACACCCATACAATAAAGTAATATTCATCAATTAAAAAATTAATACTGATTATATAACATTGATTAATCTCAAAATAATTATGACTGAAGGAAACCACATTAAAAAAAAGTATTCATAGGGGCGCCTGGGTGACTCAGTTGGTTAAGCATCCAACTTCGGCTCAGGTCATGATCTCACGGTTTGTGGGTCCGAGCCCTGCCATCGGGCTCCGTGCTGCCAGCTCAGGGCGTGGAGCCTGCTTCAGATTCTGTCTCCCTTTCTTTCTGCCCCTCCCCCACTGTGCTCTGTCTGTCTCTCAAAGGTGAATAAATGTTAAAAAAAAAAATTTAAAGTATTCATATTATATGATTTCATTTATATAAAGTCTAGAAAACGTAAACTAACCTACAGTGACAGATCAGTATTTACTGCAAAGGAGGTGTCAGGGAGGGATGGATAGGTAAAAGTAATTGCGAAGGGAATAAGGAAACTTTTCCGGATGGTGGGGATGTTCATTATTATCTTGATTGTAGTAAAGGTTTCAGCATATATATATATATATATATGTATATATATATATATATGCTGAAATGTATCAAATTATATGCTTTAAATAATGGAGTTTACTGCATGTCAATAATACGTCAATCATGCTGTTTGTTTAAAAGATTTAAAGCAACATATAAAAACATAACATAAAAATATTTAAAGACAAGCAAGACAGTCTATTTAAAAAAAAGGACATTCATTATCACAGACATAATGATCACTAAAACATCAAGTAAGATATCTGTGAGTTAACATAATTATTTCCTGTAACTTTTTGTTATTCAGGACCATTTAATCTTTGTTGTTAACTGACAATAAAGTAGCTGTGTTTTGAGAAATATTTCCTCCTGGGCATTCATGACTTCTACAAACTGAAGAATAATTTGATTTTATAATCAGCAGAATACACAGAATCCTGATAAAAGTCAGCAGAATGACACAATAAACGAAGGTAAGCAGAAAATTCAGGAAGACATAAAATGCCATTTCTTAGTAAATCACTTACCACCTGCCATGTGTCTTTTTCTTAGTTAGCTAATTATTCTAACACTAATTTCCAAATTTGTTTGAAAAGTTAAGCTGAAATTTAATGTTCTACTTACCAGCTGTTTTTCTTGTTTCTCTAAAGCTGCTCGATCTCTGATTATAGCCCTCTGCGTACCTCGTAATTCTCGATTCTGTTCCTTTATTACATCTAAGAGAATCACAAAAAAAACAAATGTAATTTTCTTCAATACCATTTAAAATACCAGACTTGGAGACTTTATTAAAAAAAAAGAAACCATGTTTTACTAGATGTTAATTTTTTTTATTCAATATAGTACATATATATAAAGTCAAATATATTAAAACTTGGACCATAAATATTAATTAAAGAACTACAAAAGATAACTGCAGATATGCTATAGTATCCAAAAGTGTATATACATCACAATAAAAGATTCCCTTAGAGAACTGATACTATACAATGTTTTATATAGCACATAAATATGTCACAAACACATTCTTCATCTCTTCTTACCCCAGTATTATATGAAATTCCAGGAAGGAAGACAGGTCACTAAGTCATCATATCATCACAACAGAGCGAAATAGCAGACCTTCCAATGAGGCAGACCTGGATTTGAATCCTCCCTCTGCCACCTGATCATTATATGATGATATCTTGGGAAAGTTAGTTAATATTCTAAACCTCAGGTTGCTTATTCATAAAACAAGGATAATTGTTAAGGAGTAAATAACACACAATGTCCTGATACACTATTAAAGTTCCACTCAATCTTGAAGTTTTTCTAATTTATTCATTTGGATCCATCAGGTCCCATCTTTTGAAGAATTAAAGTGCTAGTCTAGGTCCAAGGGACTATAATTTGGGTTAGCTGTTACTAAATAGTAATTTCTTCAAAAATCACAGATATTGATGGTAATTCTTGCCAAAACTGATCTTTCATTACCAGGAACCTTGCGAAGTGTTGTACATATATTATGCAATATAATATCGACAATAATGCTATGGAGTTGATTTTTCTATTATTTTAATTTAAATTTTTTTTAACATTTATTCATTTTTGAGAGACAGAGTGTGAGTGGGGGAGGGGCAGACAGAGGCAAGAGAGGGAGACACAGCATCCAAAGCAGGCTCCAGGCTCCAAGCTGTTAGCACACAGCCCGAGGCGGGGCTCGAACTCAGGAACCCAAGAGATCATGACCTGAGCAGAAGTCGAGCGGGCTCTTAAATGACCGAGCCACCTAGGGGCCCCTTATTTTACATTTAAAGAAAACTGAGAGTTGGGAAGTTTCAATAACTTGCCCAAGGTCACAAGATAGTATGCAGTAATGCCAGATTTGGATCCAAGTGTTCTGTCTCCCGAATCAGTAATCTTAATCACTTCACTAGAGTACCTTTCTAGTCAAGAAGTAGATTTAAAAACAATGGTAACAGAAAGAATAGTCTCTTTATCAAATGGCATTGGGACAATAGGATGTCTACATGAAAAAGAATGAAATTGGGCCCCTACCTCACAATGTATATGAAAATTAACTAAAAAAAGATTAATGACCCAAATGTAAGAACTGAAATTACATAATTCTTAGAAGAATACATAGGAGTAAATCTGCATGATCTAGGACTTAGCAATAGATTCTTAGATATGACACTAAAAGCATGAACAACAAAAGAAAAAAAAAGATAAATTGGACTTTGTTAAAATTAAAGGCTGTGCACCAAAGGAAAGACATCCCACAGAAAAGGAAAAAATATATACAAACTATATATACATATATATATATGTACACATATATATGTACATATATATATGTATATATATGTGTATATATATATATATACACACACATACACACAACTTATTAATATATAGAGAGTCTAGTATTCAGAATATATAAATAACTCTTAAAATACCAAAACAAGACTACACACACACGCACACACATATATGTCAAGAGTCTAGTATCCAGAATATATAAATAACTCTTAAAACTCAAAAACAAGACAATCAAATTAAAAATGGTTGAAGGACCTGAATAGACACTTATACAAAGGAGATACAGAAATGGACAATAAACACAAAAAGAAGATGCTCAACATCATTAGTCATAAGGGAAATGAGAGACATTTCACATCCACCAGAATGGCTATAATCAAAAACAAAAAAGGAAAATAACAAGTGTTATGAGAATGTGAAGACTGGTACCCTTATATATTGGTGGTAAGAATGTAAACTGTTTCAGCCACTGTGGATAAAAATTTGGTGGTTCCTTAACAAGTTAAACATAAAATTACCATATGATCTTACCAACTCCACTTCTAGGTATGAGAGCTGGAGTATAATAAGAAATGAAGTCCTGATACATACTACAACATGAATAAACCATTAATATATTATACTAAGTGAAAGATGCCAGATACAAATGGTAATACTTTATGATTATATTCAGATGAGATATCAGAATAGATTGATCATAGGGGCGCTTAGGTGGCTCAGTCGGTTAAGTGTCCGACTTCGGTTCAGGTCATGATCTCACAGCTCCTGGGTTCAAGCCCCGTGTCGGGTTCTGTGCTGTCAGCTCAGAGCCTGGAGCCTGCTTTGGATTCTGTGTCTCCCTCTCTCTCTGCCCCTCCCCTGCTCATGCTCTGTCTCTGTGCCTCAAAAATGAATAAACGTTAAAAAAAAAATTAAAAAAAAAAAGAAAAAATAGACAAATCACAAAGACAGAAAGCAGACTGGTATTTGCCAGGGGTTGGGGAGAGAGAATGTGGAGTCACTGCTTATCATGTACAGGATTTTAGTGTGAGGTGATGAAATGTTTTAGAACTAGAGATGGTGGTTACACCCCATCGTGAAAGTACTAATGCCACTGAACTGCTGTTCACTTTACAATGGTTAACGTTATGTGAATTTCACCTCAAATAAAACGACAGAGCCAACACTCGTTATCCTTTTACTGATGGAACACCAACCTTATACACTTCTGTGTATAATGTATAACTTTACTCATAATAAAAATAACTATGGTCACCTGGGTGGCTCAGTTGGTTAAGTGCCCGCTCTTGATCTCAGCTCAGGTCATTATCTCATGGTTTGTGAGCGGAGTCTCACATCAGGCTCTGTGCTGATAGCGTGCAGCTTGCTTGAGATTCTCTCTCCCTGTCTCTCTGCCCCTCTGCCCCTAATAGTTGAATAGGTTTCTTTGCTCCAAGGCCTCTAAGACTATTTAGTATATGAATATGCAGTCAATTCTTAAGTGGAGAACATATTATAGATTATTTCCTACATTTGTTAAGTCAAGAATTCCTTTTAAGAATCTCTATTAACATTTCCTAGATGTTAATGTTCCATGGAGCACTGGTTGGGATTCTGTTCTAAAAATAACACAATTTATTAGTTTCCTACGGCTGCTATAACAAATACCACAGACTGGGTACCTTAAAAAACAGAAAACGAAGTTTCTCACATTTCTGGAAGCTGAAAGTCCAAGGTCAAGGTATTGGCAGGTATGATTTTTCCTGAGGTCTCTCTCTTTAGCCTGCAGATGTCTGCCTTCTTTGCTGTGTTCTCATATGGCCTTTTCTCTGTGTGTGCCCATCCCTGGTACCTCTTTCTCTTCTTATAAGGTCACCCTCGCCCTGAATTAGGGCCACATCTTCATAACCTTTTAACCTCAATTACCTCTTTACAACGCTATCTCCAAATACAGTCACATTAGGGGTTAGGACTTAGCACGAATTTTGCAGGGGTGCCTGGGTGGCTCAGTCAGTTAAGCATCCAACTCTTGATTTCAGCTCAGGTCATGATCTCATGGTTCATGGGATCAAGCCCAAGTCCATGCTGTGCTGCTTGAAGCCTGCTTAGAATTCTCTCTCTCCTTCTTTCTCTGCCCCTCCCCTACTTGCACTTTTTCTCTCTCCCCCCTCTCCCCCCCACCCTTCCCCAGCTTACTAGCTCACATGTGTTCTCTCTCTCCCTCTCAAAATGAATAAACTTAAAAACAAAAAACAAAAAAACATGAATTTTGTGGGCATACAATTCAGTCCACAGCACACAATCTTTCCTCTGACAGGTGCAGACAGACACTAAGTGGCAAAGCTCTTATTTCCCTATCTTTAAAAGCGATCACGAGCCTTTTCATCCTCAACACTCAAATACTCCTAATTTTCTTCTTTTGAACTTGGCACCCTATCTTGCCAAAGCCAACGAATTGGTATAAAAACATTCACCACTTACCCTACTGTTTCAACAGAAAATATGTTCTAAATTTAAAACTATGAAATTACAAATAAACTTTTGGAGTATAACATCTTTGTGTACTGAAAAGTCCCTAAACTCAACTAATATAAAATGAAATGGTAATACTGAGATAGTGATGAAAGTCTTCTAAAGCCACAAGAGTACAGAGATGAAAGAGAAGCCACCATATTGACAAATTAAATTGTGGCCGGATAACTGACACAGATGCAAAGCAACTGCTGAAAGCCTTGATGGAGAAGATCTAGAATTCTATCGATATATACTTTTTCATTATTAGGGTGATGTAATAAAAAGCATATATTTGATCTTTGTCTGGAGTTCCTGGCACAGAGATCCTAAAACCCTCAGTGAGCTTCCTTAGTGATAGCAATATCTTTTAACTCAAGAAAGGGGACCCCTAGATAGCTCCTGGAGGGGACTGGTCACCAGAAAGACCAAATACTTGATTAGAGAATGGGAAGTTCAGCCCCAGCCCTCTGACCTCAGGAGAAGGGAGTGGGGCTGAAGACTAGGTTATAAAAAACTCTTGAACAAAGAGATTAGGAGAGCTGCTGGGTTGGTGAACACACTGATACGCTGGGAGGGCAGCATGCCCCAAAAAAGGGCAGGGAAGATCTTGTGCCACTTATAGTCCCCAAAACTTTGCTTCCATTTGGCTGTTCCTAGGTAAAGCACTTTTCTGAGTTCTACGACTTGTTCTAGCAAATTATCACACTGTGGAAAGAGTTATGAGGACTCTAGAATTTGTAGCTGCTTAGTCAGAAGTATTGGTGGCAACCTGGGACTTGTGACTGGCATCTAAAATGAGGACAGTCTTGTAGGACTGAGCCTTGAACCAGTGGGCTCTGTGCTAACTCCAGCGAGTGTTAAGACTGATCAACTTTTTGGAGACACCCCATTGGTATCAGAGAACCATAGAGTAGAAAAT